CCCTCTGCAGGCCAAGACGAAGCTGCGCAAGTTCTGCGCGCCTGGCGGCTGCGTACGATGTGCAGACTGCAAGCCCCCACACGGCCAGGACGAGCTCTCTGCGCTCCCAGTTCTCACTATTGACGCGACCCTTCCCCTCTCACCCTCACCTCGGGCGCCTGCTGGACCCGCACGCAAGTCGCTGCTGTCACCTCGCGTGCGACGATCGGCAAGCCGCGCTCCAAAGACCACACGCATGGCTAGGTTCACTCTTGCGTGTAGCCGATCAGACGCTGCACCTGGCCCCGTTCATGGAGGAGGCGTAGCATGCGGCGGATTCTTGGGGCTGGCAAGGGCAAGGGCGGCCGCGCCGAGTCTTCGAGTACCCAGCTGAGCGGGCACACTGCTGAGGGCCCCCCGCGCCCTTGGGCCTCCGACGACCAGCTGACTGACTGCACGGAGCTTGGCCGTGGAGCTCCAGAGCGAGGCAGACGTTGGCACGCCATGGAGGCCCGAGGTGAGAAGGACATGTTATGAACATGTACATCTTTTGTTTTATGTGCATGTACGTGTGTTATGCCTTCAGGAGGTCCGCCAGGCCTCTTCCAAGCCTGCGTGGGTCACCCGCTTTGCCTGAAGTATGGCTGGCGCTTGGTCTGCTCAACGCCATCGCCCCGGAACGTCAAGCGCGCCGTCCAGCAGGGCGGCACGGCTATTTTGTGGCAAGGGCTCTATTATCGTGAAGTCGAAATTTTGATCGTGAATTGCAAATTGCACGTAGTGTTTTTTTACGCAGTGTTTTCTCACGTAGTATTTTTGTACGTCGTGTGTTTGTTTACGTTGCGTGTGTTATTGTCTAGTGTTTCCTACGCGTAGTGTGTCCTACGCGCAGTGGTTCCTGCGCGTAGTGTTTCCTGCGCGTAGTGTTTCCTACGCGTAGTGTTTCCAACGCGTAGTGTTTCTTACGCGTAGTGTTTCCTACGCGTAGTGTTTCCTACCCGTAGTGTTTCCTGCGCGTAGTGCTTCCTACGCGTAGTGTTTCCTACGCGTAGTGTTTCCTACGCGTAGTGTTTCCTACGCGTAGTGTTTTCTGCGTAGCGTTTCCTGCGTAGTGCTTCCTGCCTAGCGTTTCCTGCGTAGTGTTTCCTGCGTAGTGTTTCCTGCGTAGCGTTTTCTGCTTTGGGTCTTCTGCGTTTTGTTTCCTGCGTTGTGCTTCCGGCGTAGTGTTTCATGCGTTATGTTTCTTGCGTTGTGTTTCTTGCGTCCTGCGTAGCGTTTCTTGCGTGATGTTTCTTGCGTAGTGCTTCCTGCGTAGTGTTTCTTGCGTAGAGATTCCTGCGTATTGTTCCCGGCGTAGTGTTTCCTGCGCAGTGTTTCCTGCGTAGTGTTATTTGCTTAGTGTTCCCTGCTAAGCGTTTCCTGCGTAGCGTTATCTGCGTAGTGTTTCCTGCGTATTGTTTCCTGAGTGTGTTTCGTGCGTAGTGTTTCCCGCGTAGTTGTTGCGTCTTGTTTCCTGCGTAGGATTTATTGCGCATTGTTTCCTGCGTTGTGTTTTCTGTTTAGTGATTCCTGCGTAGCGTTTCCTGCGTATTGTTTCTTGCGTGATGTTTCTTGCGTAGTGTGTTCTGCGTATTGGTTCCTGTGTAGCGTTTCCCGCGTAGTGGTTCCTGTGTATTGTTTCCTGCATGATGTTTCTTGCGTAGTGTTTTCTGCGTAGTGTTTCTTGCGTAGTGTTCCCTGCGAGGTGTTTCCTGCGTACTGTTTGCAGCGTATTGTTTCCTGTGTGTTGTTTCAGCGCATGTCTTTTTTTGTTTTACGCATTCGTGTTTACAGCAGCGTTTTGTTTACGCCGTGTTTTCGGTTCGCAGTGTTTTGCACGGCGTTTTTTTTCAAACAGCGTTTTTTTACGCAGTGTTTTAAGTTAGTGTTTTTTTACGTAGTGCGTGTTCCTGCGTCTTTTTCGGACGTTGACCCGCTTCAAGTCCCTCGCCTTGGAGCCGCGAACCAAAAAGAGTGTTCCTGCGTCTATTTCTTGTGTAGTGTTTCCTGCGTAGTGCTTCCTGTGTGTTGTTTCCTGCGCAGTGTTGTTTGGTACGCAGTGTTTTTTTTTACGCCGTATGTTTACGCAGTGCCTGTTTTACGTAGTGTTTCTTTTGGAGGTGCTTTTTGTTTACGCAGTTTTCTTGTACGCACTGTGTTTTAACGTGGTGTTTAAACGCAGTGTGTTTGTTATTCATTGTTTTATACGCAGTGTTCATTACGCAGCTTTTTACGCAGAGTTTCTTGCGCAGTGTGTTTCCTGCGTAGTCTTTCCTGAGTTGAGTTTCCGGCGTAGTGTGTTCTGCGTTGTGTTTTTTTAGTTTTTTTTCTTGCGTCTTGCGCTTTCCTGCGTGGCTTGCCTTCCGTAGTGTTTCCTGCGTAGTGTTTCTTGCGTAGTGTTTTCTGCGTGGTGCTTCCTGCGTAGCGTTTCCTGCGTAGTGATTCTTGGGTCGTATTATCTGTATAGCGTTTCCTGCGTAACGTTTCCTGCGTAGTGTTATTTGCGTAGTGTTTCCTGCGTAGTGCTTCCTGCGCAGTGTAGCGTTTGTTTGCGCAGTGCTTTTTGCTACGCACTGCTGTTTGTTTACGCACTGCGTTTTTATATCCGCGTTGTTTGCATTGTTTTACGTAGTACAACACCACGCAGGACACAGCACGCTGGAAACACTACGAGGGGAAACGCTACGTCTGAAACGCTACGCAGGAAACACACTACGCAGGAAACGCGCTACGTAAAGAAACACATTACGCAAAACACACTACGCAAGAAACACTACGCGGAAAACGCTACGCAGGAAACATTACACCGGGAACACACCGCAGGAAACACCACACAGGAAACGCTACGCAGGGAGCACTACGCATGAAACACAACGCATGAAACACATTGTGTAAGAAATGCAATGTAAAACACTACGTTTAAAAAGCACACGTAATAAGCACTACGTAAAACATTGCGTATCACACACATCGTTTCAAACACACTGCGCAACGCAAGCAGCACTACGTTGGAAACATCACGCAAGAAGTGCTACACATAACAAACACTCAGTAAACAACTGCGTGCAGAACACTACGTACAACACACACTACGCAACAACAACACGACACTGCGTAGGAAACACTACGCAGTAGTTACTGTGGGGGAAACACTGCGCAGGAAACACTACGCAGGAAACACTACGCAGATAACACTACGCAGGAAACACTACGCAGGAAACGCCACGCAGGAAACACAACGCAGGAAACACTGCGCAGGAAGCACAACGCAGGAACCACTACGCAGTAAACACAACGCAGGAAACACTATACAGGAAACGCGATGCAGGGAGCACTACGCAGGAAACACAACGTGGAAAGCACACTGCGTAGCAAAACATTGCGTAACACATACAAAACATGTACGTATAAACAAGCTACTTACAAAAACTGCGTGACGGACATTGGGTAAAACGACGCGTCGCGTCAATCGCACTACGTTGTGCAAGCGGCATTGCGAAGGAAGCATCACGCAAGCAGCATTACACATCAAAAACACACTGCGCAAAACAACTGCGTACAGAACACGACGTACAACAAACACTACGTAACAAACACACTACGTGCAATTCGCTGCGTAGAGACATACGGCACATAAAACACACTGCGTAAGACACGCTGCGTAAAAAAAACGTATACAGAAACAACACACAGCGTAACCAAACATTATATTGCACAGGAAACGCTACGCAGGAAACACTACGGGGGGAACACTACGCAGGAAACACTACGTAGATAACACTACGCAGGAAACGGTACACAGGAAACACCAGGCAGGAAACACAACGCAGGAAACACTACGCAGGGAACGCTACGCAAGACACACCACGCAGGAAGCACCACGCATGAAACACTACGCAGGACGCAGGAACTCCCACACAGGAAACACAGCGCAGGAAACAGCAGGAACACAGCGCAGGAAACACAGCGCAGGAAAGACCACGCGGAAACACAACGCAGTAAACATTTCGCAGGGCGCATTTTACGAACAAAAACATTGCGTAGAAAACGTTGCGGGGAAAAAGCAAACACAACAACTAAGTAAAACAAGCATATACACAAAAAGCGGCATTGCTTGACAAAACATTACGTAACATAGCATTGCGTAAACAACATTGAGTAGAACACGCTGCGTACAAAACATTGTGAACTATGAAACATTGCATAAACGAATTTCGTTAATAACAGTTCGTAAAACAACATTGCGCAGATGAATATATTTTTTAACGGTTACGACCAACCCTCATTTTTTGGCGTCCTTCGTTTGGGCGCGTTGCTTTTCATCGAGCCGCTTCTCATCGTGAAGTGGCTGTCCGTACAAAGTTGGGAGTTTTCACATGTGGGCACGGGCCAGCTGCCGTGCGCGTCGACCCTTGGATGGAAGAAATCGTGGATTGGACGTCTATTGTGGCCCGTGGCACTCCGCCAGTGCCGTGGTGCATCACCAGGGACCTCAAGTGGTGCCCCTTCTACGCAATCGTGTTGCCCGATCACGCCTCTCTGTGCCCGGCGACCAAGCCGACCACAGTGGCCGGGACGTCCTTTACCAGGGCCGCGAGCACCGGCATGGAGCTCAAGCTGGAGGACGCCCATTTTCTCCCACTCCTCCCGTACCACGGCCCAATTTTTTTTCGTACCAAGCTAACCACCCCCAACTTGCAGTTCACACGTATGCGCCGCACCATGCGGTTCAAGCTGGCCTCGGGCAGCGCCGAGCGACGTCGAGGAGCTTCAGAGCGAGATCGACGCCACCCTCCCCGTCTGCGAAGCCGCCGCCCCTTGCCTGAGAGATGGGCGCGGTGCCATGCCCGGGCCGAGGGCACACTGACGGCGGCTGCGGGGCGCGGATGGCTGCTGTGAGATGGCGCGGGTGAGCGGCCGAAGGGTTCACTTCCTACTTCACGCAAGGTGGCCATAGCCCCAGCAGTGCGGCCTTCGAGCCGATGGAAGGAATGCGTCTCAAACGTCTTGGTCGGCGGGTGGCGCACAAGCTCCGCGACCATGCGCGCGAGCTCCTGTCTGGCCCCATCCTGGACCAGTGCGTCGACAACGCCCTCCGGGGGCGCCTGGCCGCCAACCCCCGCGGCCGCCCTACGTTCGCGGAGGCGCACGCTCAAGTCTCCAAGGCCATCTCGGCGATCCAGCGGGACCTCATGAAGGAGCACCGCGCAGGGTGGCGGCGCTTGTTCCAGCATAATTCTCCAGACACGTGGCGCGCTGCCACGGCAGAAGTCCACGGCCCCTCGGAGTGCCCCAGCCTCATCGCCACGGACATGACCGAGGAATGATAGAAGGCGTTGCCCCAATTGCGACGAGCATGCGTGCGCAGCCTGGTGGGAGCAGCACTCCGAGGCACGAGATCCTCTGCCGGACTCCGCCGACGGGTACCGCGAGAACTGGTGCCCATCCTACGCCAACTTCCAGGCCGCCGTCCGCAAGTCCAAGGGCATTACGGGTTACGACGGATGGCGTTCGAGCGAGCTAAAGATGATATCAGAGCATGTCGAGTTCGTCTTATTCGACCACTACACATTGTGATGCGACGCCCGTGAGACCATCCTGGTAAAGCGCCCCCCCCGAGCTCCAGCACCTCCTCTTTGCATAGCGCGTCATGAGGGGGCCCAACTGAGACGCCGCCAAATCGCGCCCCATCGGGGTGGGGTCGGTGCCACTCTGGGCCTGGCTCACAGCCTGTGAGCCGACCTTCCCCACGCCGCAGGGCGCCCAGTTCGCGTGCGAACGCAGCTCCACGGTGGTGCACGCCTGCTGCCCATGGCTGCACGCTTGCCAGCACGGCGAGTGTGGACAGCGAAAGAGATACGTGCGAATTATTGGCGCTGCATCGAGCTTTTTGATTATTGTGGACGGTAATGGCCGCATCGTTCATCTGGGAGGATGGCGCGAACGGGCCTGTTTGTCGCAGCAGCAGGCGCAGGTGCCACTGCGCACGTGTCTGCTCCCCCAGGTCGCACAGTCGAGTTTGATTCGTAGGTCGACCCTGACAAATCAAATGAACCTGCGTGTCCTGCGTTTCGCGACCCATGTCCTCTGCATTCCTGGAGCAATGTTGTCCTCGGAATGGTATGGTGTCCAATGGCGCGCTATCTAGCACCAATCAACCTGTGCTTGTGCCGCCATGGAACGACGAGGATTCTGTAAGATTTCGATGTGACGGGTCCGCCCGCCTCGTACGGCAGTTTCGCAGCCTGTCGCCGGGCGGCGGCCCCTCCGCGGGCGATCTGGCGGTCGAGAAGCCGCCGATAGTCCAAGGGTGAGCGATCCATGCGGCGTCGTGAACCAACGCCAGGGTCGTCACGACATCAAAACCTTCGCGCTGGATGGGGAGGACCCAGACCTCCAACGTTGAAATTTGTTCACAGCGTGGACCCAATTATGTATGCAACAATTTCGGACCCGCGTTCCATATCATATTGTTTTTTTGATTGCCCGGGTGCCTACTGAGGCGCCCCAAATGTCCAGCATTGAACACTTTGCGCAGCGAGAGAGAGAGAGGGAGAGAGAGAAGGTCTGAGGAGGAGGGGGCCGACGACGACTGAGGACCGGGGAACGAACAATGACATACACGTGAAAGTTCGGAGGTCCGACCAGGTTCTTCGGATCGGCGGTGGAACCCCTTGTTGGCGCCTCCGGGGTCCCAGCGCCGATCCGAGAAATCCGCTCGGACCTCCGAGCTTTAATGCTTATGTTGTTGTTTGTTCCCCGAGAGGTCGGAGGATGGGCGCGCTGCTCCCGCCCCCTGCGAACGCCGAGGAACATTTCCGCGTCAATGCCAGACTTGGCCCGCGGCCGCGCCACAGCGGGCTGCCCCCGAGAGCCGCGGCGGAAGAAATTGTGGCGGCGCCCCTCCGGGGCACTCGGCGACCACTCCCCAACACAGCCCCTGCCCGCGGGTCCAACCGACGCTGGGGTATCCTGAATGGCAAACAACGGCACAAACAGAATTTGTCGGAGTTCCGCGCGGAGTTCTTGGATCTGCGCTGGATACCCCTGGCGGCGCCTCTGGCGCCGCCCCCGGCACGCACCGCGCGCCAGGGAGGGGGGTCCAGCGCAGGTCCAAGAAATCCGCGCAGTCCTCCAACAGTTCAATTTTTGAACAAGAATCTGGTATCAGACACCCCCGCTGGGGTCCATTTGGCTGCGGACATCCCTTGAATTCGGACCCCATTTACAAAACAAAATCTGAACCACGAGGATGCGGGTTCACTTGTGGTTGGGCGATTTCTATAGTTACACGATTTCTATCTTCCGTGGAAGGATCCCAGACATCCAACGTGTTGAAGCAATCCAGGCGGGAGTTGTTTTAGTTTTTGGTCTTTTGGGGGCCTCAGCGCGCCACGGGTCGGTAACGAAAAAAAAACTCGGGGTGAGACAATGTGTTCGGGGAACGGGCCAGGACTTCCCCGCGACCCCCCATTTTGAAACACCGAAAACACATGATATGCATGGCATTGGCGGCCAGTCGTTGTTTGAGATCTTGTCCCGTTTCCATGAGCAGCCCAGCCGGCCTTGCTTCATGGGGTCGCATTCGTTTTTCTTGCAGGAGCGAGTCCCTTTGTGCCGATCCTCAGAACCTGGAAGCAATATTTCAGAGATGCAGGCATTCTTCTTTGGTTCGACTTGATATCCGACTTGGCAAAAGCAGTGGCGAGTCCATTACTATGGTCTCTCTCTCTACATATATGGATTGTCTCTTGTGTTCGGTTTGTTGCTCTCTCGTTTTCTCTCTCTCTCTCTCTTTCTTTCTATTCTGCGCGGAGAAGGGAGGGGTGAGCACGTCCGTAATTAGTCATAGTTTTCGAGAGGGGCCGAGGGTAACAAAAAGGCGTTGTACAGCTTGCAGTCGGAGAGAGGGGTTGGAGAAGAGTGAGGGCAACGCGAATGATGGCCGAGGATGCGGAGAATGGCGGTCAGGCAGCATGAGGCGAGCAGCACTCTCAGGCGCTTGAGTCAGGAACGAATCATGGACTGCCCAAGACGCAGCCGTAGGCCAAACGCCGTTGTTTGTTTGTCCTTGTTTCTCGCGTTCTCGTGCCCCCTCGTCATAGTTTTCTTCTTCCTCTTGTGGTCAGGATGTCGGCACCAGGGGAGCCCTTCGCCAAACCACCCCCCCCAGAGTATCGGGCAGCGCGCAGTAAAACTTGGTATGTACCGAAGGAGAAGACGGCGATGCGAGTCTGGAGCACGCACATTCATATATGCATACATGTATACGTTTGTATATACATACATACATACATACATGCATGCATGCATACATACACACATACATACATACATACGTACAAACATACATGCATACATACATACATACACACATACATACATACATACATGTATGCATACATACATCCATACACACATGCATACATATATGCATACATACATCATGCATACATACATACATACATACATACATACAATCATACACACAATCATACCTACACACATACATACATACACACATACATACATACATGCATACGTACATACCTACATACATATATACATACATACATACATACATGCATACATACATCCATCCATCCATCCATCCATACATACATACATACATACATACATACACACATACAGACCTACATACGTACATACATACATACATACATATATACAAACACACAGACAGACAGACAGACATAATGACAGACAGACAGACAGACAGACAGACAGACAGACAGACAGACATACAGACAGACAGACAGACAGACAGACAGACAGACATGCATGCATACATACATACATACATATACTGTCCACATATTCACACTTGGGAGTTATTCCCGCGCAATCGCTCTCCCAATATTGAATTGTTCATTTGTATGGCATCGTGTAGTCCATGTGGATGGCTCGGCGCGATTTTCTCCATTATGTGTTGGGCAGATCGGCTCTCGTACAACTGAGTTGTCAGGGGCGGTCATTCGAGTCGTGTGGCCCACTGGTTTGAGGCTAGTGGAGCTTGGGCCGCTCGGAAGGGTCCCCATACTCCTTGGGCCAGGAAGGCCAACACACAGGACCAGCACGTGTTCTGTTTGGAGAGCATGAGCCTGGAGTGGAAGGTCCCGCTGAGCATGCGGCTGCGCCACCCTGTTGTGCTTGGGGCCGCGGGCTTTAGCCGAGCGGCCCAGATGCCCTGGCGGACTTGGGGGCCTGGGGCGCGGCGGTGGGCCGCGCCGTCGGCATGGGCGATGCCGCCGCGGAGACGGACGTGCCGCCGCCTGAGACGAGCGTGGTACTGGACGAGGGTAATGGCGAACGAACAACACACACACACACCCACACCCATAGGAGGTTCGGAGGGGGCAGGACAGGCTATGGGCATGGGCGCGGGTTGTCGGGCCCTGGGGCAGGCTCCCGTTCTAACGGGGACCCCCATCCGACGACACGCACCCCCAGCCCCCTCCGTCCCCCCTGTGGGCATGGGTGCGTGTGCTGTTCGTTCGTCAGGGAAGCATCGCTGCGAGCTCGTGGCCTACGTCAGCAAGGGCGGCTGGGTCAAGGACGTGCGCGTGCGCGGGCCGCTCCGCGGCACGCGCCGGGAGGCGCTCAGGGACTGCCTGGAGCTGCGCAAGGCGGCGGCGCAGTGTGGCGACGACGCCTCGCTGCACGAGGTTCGGGACAGGCGTCGGAGGGCACCAGTGACGGTAGGTCCGCGCCGCTGGCGACCCTGGATCGGTCGATATTGAAGCATTTGACATTTGGGAAGCGGCCGATCGTTCAAGGTGAAAACCAAGTCGGCACGGTGCGAACCTGCCGTACACACATGCACCGATCATGGCCAGGCCCATTCTTGGTCCAGGATCAGAGAATATACCCTCCTGGCTCGGGCAGGAGAGCACATATCCCAGACGTGTGAAGCTTTGATCTGTTCCGTGCGGAGTGCGGAGGTCTCCCGCAAGTCCTGCCCCTTGCGCACAGGGCCGGTGCTTCCCGAGTCGTGTCTTGACGGCCCCAGGGCCCAGCGAAGGCCCCGGTAGGCCGAAACACGGCCAAGCGTTTTTTTGCCGTAGTTTTTGTTTACGGCGGGCGCGAGCACGTCTGGGATACGCGAAGATCATTGTCTGTCGTCGCTGCTGGCAGGGGGGGCTGTTCACTCCTTCCTCCAAAAAAAATCACGGCGGGGGGGGGTGCAGAATTTCCGCCTTTCCCCCACGCCCTGGAATATTCGGGGGGGTCCAGAACCTCCCCTCCCGGGGAGAGGGTCCAGAACCCCCCCCCGGCAACGACGACGATGACGACGACGACGACCACGACGACGACGACGACGATGACGACGACGATGACGATGACGACGACGACGACGACGACGACGTCGCCTCCGCTGCCGGCAGCAAACGACGCGCACGACGACGACGATGATGACTATGACGACGACGACGACGCACGCACGACGCACGACGTACGACGCACGTCGCACGACGACGACAACTATGATGACGTCGACGACGCACGACGCACGGCGCACGGCGCACGAGCCACGACCACGACCACGACGTCAACGCCGACGCCGCCGCCGCCTCCGACGAGGACGCCGCCGCCGACGCCGACGCCGACGCCGACGCCGACGCGGACGCGGACGCGGACGGCGACGACGACGCTGACGCCGATGCCGACGACAACGACCGCGACGCCGACGACGACGACATCGATTGAGCCTTCGTGGGATGCCATGAAAGCTGGATCGAGCCCTATTAGGATTCTTAATTTGGATCGAGGCGTAATTGGATTGTATCAGAGATGGGTCCAGGCCCAGTAGGATTATATCCAAGCTTGACCGAACCGTGCAAGGATATTATTAGAACTGGACTCAAGTGTGTCAAGACTTGGTACATTCATGCTGGAGCGAGATTTTGTAGACTCCATGAGACTTGAACCCAACATTGATACGACTCTTACCAGGCATGGACCCAGCCGTCCAGGACCCTATGGGAACCGGATCGAGCCTGAGGAGTCTTCTATCAGAGTTGGAGGATTCAACTAACCTTGCCAGGATTATGTTACAGCTGGTCTGCGCCCTGGTAGGACTCCATCAGAGCTCAGTCGTGCCCTAGTTGGATTCGGAAAAGGGCATGGTCGACCCTTAAGAGGATGGCATGGAAGCTGGATGGAGCTCTCGCAGGATTCTGCCAGAGCTGGGTCGAGCCCTAGCAGGATCCGGGCGGAGTTGGATCCACTCGTGCAAAAGTGTATCCAGTCCAGCGGGGTTGGATCCAGTGGTGGATCCAGCCCCAGGGGTGGATAGAGATGCTTTGTAGAGCTGGGCTCGAACGTAGTAGGATGTTGTAGGAAAGTTTGACCGATCCCGAATATGATACCATACCTTATAGGATTGCAAAAACAGGTAGATTGACCTGTTAGTAGGAGACCATCAGAGCGGGGCCCAGTAAAGTTGGATCCAGCCCTAGCAGGCTTCCATTAAAGCCCTTCGAGCCTCCGTAGGATTCTGCTTGAGTTTGATCGAAATCTAATCGGATTTCATGAGTGCCGGGCCCAACTTTAGTAGCAGGATTCCAGTAGAGCTGGATCGAGCCTTTTTAGGAATCGGTAAGGTCCTGACCCAAACCTTATAGGATTGAACCAAAGCTGGACTGAGCCTTATTCGAATTCCATTCGAACTGGATCCGGCAGAACTGGATCAAGCCCGAGTCGGATTTTATTACAGTTGGATCGAGGTTTTGAAATATTCCGTGAGAGTTGGATCGTCTCCCGATCGGATTCCATGAGGATGGGCCCAGCCCGAGTAGGTGGAGTTGGATAGAGCCCGAGTATCATAGTAGGATTATGATAGAGATTGACGGGGCCCGTAGCATTTTATGACAATTCAACGCCCCGCCGCCGTCGACGTCGTCGTAGGCGTCGTCGTCGTTGCGGGGGAGGAGGTCCTTCCGGACCTTCCGACTCATTTCCCCAAGGGGGGTGGGGAGGTCTGACCCCCTCTCGAGCAATTTTCTTTGGGGGGGTGGGGGGGAGGGGAGGTCTGGATCCCCCGCGTTTTTTTTTCCGGGGGAAAGAGGGGGTGGCTTCCTTTTATACAACTTCCTCTGGGCAGCGACGGTGGATCGCGGCTCCGCTGGATGCACCGATCCTGGGCCCAGCATGACCCTGGGCAGGATCGCTGTAGGTGCGTGCGTCCCAGACCCCCGACGTGAACCCTTCCGCGGTACCGGCTTTTCATCCTGAGTCGTTTTTTGACGGTTCCGAGGCTCGGGGAGGGCTCCCATAGGCCGAACACAGAGAAACACCGCCCGTCGTGATTTGTGTCGCAGCGCGATGGGGTCCGGTTTGGCGCCCTCCCGAGGCGGCGGCAGCTCGAGACCACGCAGTGGACCGAGAAGGCAGGGGTCGACTTAAACTCTGTTTTGGCGATTTCGTGGGCCGTTTTCGTTTCGATTCCGCTTAGCAGCAAAGGCGGATTGAAGACAGAACGAGGGGAACCCAAAAGAAAACGAGAGCGAAAAACATGGCTTAGGACGAACCCTTCGAGAAGGACCTCGGCGGCCGGCAGCTCGAGGGCGCCGAGGGCCGCGCGGCCCCGCGGGCGAGTGCCAGGGCGCCGAAAGCGAGGTGCCTCGCGGCGCAGGGGCCCGCGAGGGTGCAGGCGCCGGCCGGCGCGCCGGCGGCGCCGCCGCCCGAAGTGGTGGTCTCAAGCACTTGGCATCGCTCGGACGTGTGCATTCCCTGAGATCGTGGCGTTGCGATTTTTGCCGCACGGGGCGTTTCCGCCCAAGTTCGGACCCCGGGACCCTCACAGATCGATCCGGCTCGAAGAATGGGCGGTAAGATGGGGTCCGGGGCTCGGGTCGTGGTTATCACGATGTTGCATTTTTTTTCACAGCGTCGGATCTCAGGGCTTGGTTTCGCTCGGACGTGTGCATTTTTCCCCCAGCGGGGACCATCGAGGAGCATCCTGGGTCATCCTGCGAAAAATGCACGCGTGAAAAAGCGAAACATGCACTTGGAATGGACGTCCGAACGAGGACGAGAGCAGTGGCGAAGCGTCCTGGCTCGCCTATGGGCCCACCAAAGAATGTTGTCATAACCCAATGTGGTTTGCACGAAATGGTCTTGAACAAAAACACGACGCAGGTTTTTCACTATTTTCGGCCTCTGGGGCCTTCACCAGGCCTCGGGACCGTCAAAAAACGATTCAGGATGTAAAAACCGGTCCAGGGGAATGGGTCGAGACCTTGGGGGTCGACGTTATGAACAAATCATGACGTCGGGAGTTTGGGACAGGCCCACCAAAGAATGTTGTAAGAACCCAGATGCGGTTTGCACGAAATCGTCTTAGAACGTTTCTGTCCGAGGCTTTCCTGTTTTCATCAATCGGGCTTATGCTCTGAAAGCATTGTTTTTATCATTTGAACGTTCTTCGTTCTAGGAACGTGTCGTGGTAGGCCTGTAGGAATGCCAGGACAGTCGATCCCTGCTCAATGGTCAGTGGTTCAAAGATGGGGTCCTGCGAAATGGGGTCGTCAGGACGAGGTGCATCAAGCAGCGTAGATCCCCCCTTGGATCCGTTCCTACCCTTAGGCCCCCACCCCTCAGGACCCCATCGTTGAGACACAGAGGTGGGCCGCGGTGGCTGGACTGCCACGAAAATCCAGCAGAGGTCGAGGGGGAGAAAGCGGCATGAAGATGTACTGTAGACCGGAGCTCCGCGCGGGTTTCTTGGGTCGGCGGTGGACTCCCGTGCCTGGGGTGCGGAGCGCGCCAGGGGCGCCGTCAGAGGCGCCGTGGGGAGGGGTGCCCAGCGCAGATCTAGGAAATTCGCGCGGACCTCCGAAAAGTTCATGCTCATGTTACTGATTGTCCCTCTAAGAGGGTGGCCGAGCTCTCCGAGGCGCACTCCCTCGACCAGAGCTCTCACGACAAGCTCGCCTCGGTTTTCGCGGAGCGGCTGCGGCGGGGCTGCGACCTGGAGGTGGACTTCGACGAACTGGGGCAGCACCTGGCAGCCTCGAACAAGCCCTCGGCCCTGGTGAGCATGAAGCTCGGCGACCTCCGGTCTGGCCGGCAGATCGGGCCCTGCAAGTTCACCGGCGGCCGCAAGGACGCGGGGTCCTCGAGGGAGGGCGGCAGGAGGTACATGGCGGCGCAGGTGCTGCAGACTCCGTCCCAGAGAGCCGGGCTCAAGCCCGTCGGGCCGGGCTGGAAGAGGGCGGGGCAGCTGTGCGCGTTGCCGGAGGGGGATGGCGACTGGATGATCCACGAGCGGCAGGAGCCGAATAATAAAGAGTTGCATGGGCATGCGTTGTCAGCGCCGGTATCTTGGATTTGCGCTGGCGCGCTCCGCGCGCCAGGGGAGTAGGGGCCCCCACAAACGGTGTGGTGACCACAACGTGGGGGGAATGAGTGGGGATTCGGGGTGGCCGCGGGGTGGACTCGATGGATCGTGCGGTGAGGTCTCTGGGGATTCTGAAGCCGCCGCACGGTCTGTTACCGCACCTCGCTGGGACCCCCAATAGGAGCAGGGGGGCAAATACCGCCCCTGGCTGTTCTTCAACTCCAGCACGGGTAAGTACTTCCAGGAGAAGGCCAGCGGCGACGGCTACATGGAGGTCGGCGTGCCCCACGACCCCCAGGATCGGGGAAACGTAATAAGGCTCGAGTTTGCCGGAACTCGGGCTAGCCGACGCCTTCGGTCGAGCCCACCCTAGATTTTGACGGTCCAGTCTTCGTTGGATGTCTGCAGCGAGAGCTCGCGTCAAATCTCAGACTGGGTCCCGTCATTTCCATGATGGCCCCGTCGGGCCAACCCGAGTCCCCCGAACCCGAGTCTTACGTCTCCCCGACAGGAGCATGAGCTGCAGGTGCGGGCGTCCAGCAGCAGCGCCCCGTCCAGGGCGGGCAGGAAGCTGGACATGGCCGTGCTCCTGCCGGAGCTCCACAAGACAGGCCTCGTCCTGAAGCAGCCTCTCGAGTTCCTGGACACCCGAAGGGGGCAAGGTGCCGCTGCCGCTGCACTTCGCCCTCGCTTTCGCCATTCTGGGCCTCCTGGGAGGCCCTCGTCGCCACGGCTGCACCCGCCTCGGAGGTCTTGTCAGGACGCACCACGCGAGCGGCCCAGGGAGCAGCGGCGCCAGCACCTCCTGGCTTCCCCAGGACCGTCCTGCGGCACTCTTCGTGCTCTGCGACGGCCTGCGCGGCTCCGGGGCGGCCGCGGAGTTCTGCGCGCGGCGGCTGCACGCCCTGCTGCTGCCGCGGCTGGGCGAGAGGTCCGCAGAAGGCACCCGTGCGCACCACCGACGAGCCCGGCCACGGTCGCCCTGGGGCTCCTGGGAGTGGTGCGCACGCCCACCTGGACCCAGCCAGCAGGGCGCAGGTGCACCACGCCACGGGGGCCCATGGATGGCCCTGCCAGGGCGCGGTGGTGGCGGTGCACGGGTTCCCTCCGCGCGTGAGGGCCACCGAGTGGGAGGATTTCGAGCTCGCAGGCATCCTGCAGGAGATCTTGGGCGGGAAGCAGATCCACATCCACATCCTCCTGGGCCGAGCCCCTGGGCAAAAAGCACATGGGTACTTGGCATTGGTTCGCGGATGCCCCGCGCGGAACGTGTCCATGCGACCCCGAATCCACGGCATCGCGCCCAAGAATCTTGACAGCGAGGGCGTGGACATGGATTTGTCAAGTTCTTACTGCCGCAAACTAATGTTTGGCGACGGTGCCGCCCCAAGATGCACTGGATGCGAATTACTGACACTGGTGATCTGTATTTTCGGCGACGGCACCTTCGGTGAACCACTCACGAGATTTTGCAAGGACCTAGCCTGATAATCGCTCGCATGCGACAACCTACTGCTCGCATTCTTTAATTTTGCGGTGGCGTCGTCGACCTCTGCCCAACGAACCATATTACTCATCGAGATATGAAGCAGGGGGAATACGAGCGCGACTCGTGAGGAGAGCGTCGAGGCGCTTGACAGGCTGCTCCTGGACGCCCCCGCGCGCTTCGCTGGCTGCGGCCTGGCCGTCGCGCTGCTGACGGGGAGGCGCCTGGTCGTGGGCGCGCTTGGGGCGACGCGCTGCCTCCTGTGCACGGCTCCGGAGGATTCAGCGGGGCGCAGAATCGGGCGGTGCGCACGGTCGGACCGAGGTGTGAGACCGAGGTCGTTTCGGGGAGGGTGCCCCGATGTTCGTCGTGCTTGTTGGATGCCTCGTGGGCGAGGGTGCCCTCGCATGTTCTCCCGGTTGGCCGGCGGAGGGTCTCGCGTTCTCGAAGGATGCTCTTCTGTCCTGGGTCCGACCGTAATGGGGAGGCGATACGTGGGAAGGGAGAAGAAAGGTTCGCCGTTTGTCCCCGAACGGGGCCCTGGCCCCCTGGGGCCCAAGGGGGGGGCAGGAGGGGTGTACGCTTCTCCGCTCAAATCATCGCCCCCGTCATTGAGCAATGCCCGACAGAACTCCACCTGCTCTCGATGTGCCCAGAATCCCATCACGACGGGTAGCGTTTGCCCTTCCCGGGCCTCGCGAAACTCAAACCACGGCTTGGGATGGAAAGCCGGTCCCGGGGAAGGGGTCCAGATTTCCAAGTGGTCTCCGTTGTAGAGAGAAAAAACGCGACGCCGGAGTTCTGGGAAGGACGGGCAGGGCATTCAGGGGCAACGTTTGCTTCTGGGAAGGGTGAGAAGGGCATTCAGGGGCAACGTTTGCGGGCAGGTGGCTTCGAGGTTTGAGGTTTACGGCCGTTTTCGCCCGACTACGGCCAAGAACGTACAGCAACATACAGTCGATAATGACAGTAAGGATGAGCGACTTCCCAAGGGTCGCCTTGCATCATTGTTCCTTCGGTCATCTTCGTTCCATCCTCAACCACTTTCGGTGACCAGCCCCGCTCGCAGAGTCTCGACATGTGCGTCCAAGAGGCTTCTGCATCCTTACAGTCGGGTAGGGGATCGACTACAACATTGATTTGCCCCAGAGTTTATTGCTCCGTCGAATCTTCGAACATACAAGTAATGCTCCGTACATCGACGGAATCTGTTCTACGTATGTTCCGCAGATTCGACGGAATGGTAAGTTCTGGGATGCATCAATGTTGTAGTCGATCTCCTATTCGAATCAGTTTTGACTGTGTACCTCGATCATCGATCCTCGATGCCCCATTCCTCTTCGACGCTTCGCCCGAGGACGCTGGGGCCCGCGGCGCCAAGGCCCGCTGGCGTCGGTAGCAACGACGACAACCGACCCCCAGACCCCAGGCCTGTCCAGGGGATGCGCTCTGATCGGTGGTCCTCCGGACCCCAGACCCCCTCGAGGCATGAAAAAATCGCGAAGGTGTTGCACATCTTTCGGCTTCTGGGGGCCCTCACTGGCCCTCGGCACGTCAGACAACGACTCAGGATGAAAAACTGGTCCCGGGGAATGGGTCGAGAACTCTGAGGGTCGACGTTCTGAAAAAAGAATGTCGTCGGGGGTCTGGGGATGTGTGTTACCAAGGAAACTAAGACTCGAGTGCGCCAGACCTCTGGATTGCAGGCGCTTTTTGACGAGCGCGTCCAGAAGGTTGAGTCAACTTTGTTCATGGCATGTTTGCAGCTGGGGCTTGCGTCAAATTTTGGACTGGGTCTCGTCATTTTCATGATGGCCCCGTCAGGACAACCCAAGTCCCCCGAACCCGACCCGATATGGTTATTACACCGCCCGCGTCGTATGAAAGGGCGTCGACGGACAAGCACACGTTCGCGCTAACACACGTTCATTCAGGATCATCGGTGGGACCAGGACTCCGTGGCGGATCCAGCTGGTGGCGCCGCGGGTCCCTCCCCTGGAGGCCCCGAGGGGCCCGGCAGGCGTCCTCAATCCCCGATCCTGGGGGGGGGAAGGGCTCAGTGACCCAGGGCGGACGCATCGAACCCCCACGGCCCATGCATCGACGACGGGGGCCTCGAGAACCCCCCCCCCCCCAGGAGCGTGCGGATTTGCATTCGGGGGCCCATCGCCGACCCATCGGCGATGTATCGCCTGATGGGAGCGTTCACCACCAGAAGTTGTTGGGGGAAGGAGGTGGAGGTGGAGGAGGAGGAGGAGGAGGAGGAGGAGGAGGAGGGGGAGGAGGACGAAGTGGAGGAGAAGGAGGAGGTGGAGGAGGAGGAGGAGGACCCCCTCCCCCTCCAACTGGTGGTGGTGGTGGTGGAAAACAGGCCCACCATCGCCGATTCCAGGTCGATGTTCCCCGCCCCCTAAGCTGGCTCACCGCCCTGCGTCGCCCCCTCCTCCCTCCTCCCTCCTCCCTCCCTCCTCCCCTCCCTCTCATCCTCCCTACGTCGCCCCCCTGGCTCTCGGATCACTGTACAGCGGCCGTTCGACGGTCCGACCACCCGAAGAACCCCCCGTAGGCCGGGGAGGAGGAGGAGGAGGAGGAAGAGGAGGAGGACCCCTTCTCCAACTTATGGTGGTGGTGGTGGTGGAAGACACGCCCATCATGACCTGGCTGGACCCAAACGGTGTTTTTCGTGATTTCGTGGGCCGTTCCCGTTTCGACTTCGTTTTGCGGTAGAGGCGGATTCGAGACAGAAGCGAGGGCGAGCGAACACAAAACGAAAACGAACAGCACCGTTTAGGTTCAGCCCTGCCCCTAACGTAGCCCCCTGGTGTTGGGGTAATTTCTCGGCCCTCCCGCGGCCGTTCGGGACGAGCTGGCGCTGGAGCGCTCTCGGCCAGGCGCAGTTGCCGGAGAGCATCCCGAGGCTGGAAAACAGCCAAGGACCAAGGGAAAGCGCCCACAGCGGACGACAGCGATGGCGACGTCGGCGGACGACATCGACGGCGGTGGCGGCGTTGAGGCCGCCGCGGGTGGGCTGGGCCTGCCACGAAGGTGCTCCCTGGAGGCCCAACAAGGGCCTGACACGTCTAGACATTTCCAGAAGCCGAAAGCCGCTTGCGCTCGCCCGCCCCCGTCCACCCACGAAGGCGGCTGGGCGCGGCCATCAGAGGCTTGTTTTCCCTTCGGCCTGGGTCAGGGGCTGCGGCTCGCAGGCCAGAGAGGGTTTATGAGTTCTTGACGTGTTTCTTTGTTGTGCACGACGTGGGCAAGTGTCCTACTACCTGGCGGCTCCCCTGATCTTCGGTGCCCCACCCAGCTCCTGCACCCCCTCCCAGGATCCATCCTCGCCAGTGGATCGAGCTGCGTCCAGCCGTGGCTGTGACGGCGCTCGCGAGGTCAGTGCAGGGCCAGAGACGCTCCACGGCATACACACCGAAATCCTCGATCCTCGGCGCTCGCCCGACGTCGACGGACGGCGGTGACGACGCGGAGGCCGCCGCGGCGGGTCGGGCCTGCCCGACCCGACTGGCCCGTGCGGGCCCGCCCGCCCAGCCCGACCCGCCCGCCCGATCCGTTGGCCAGTTCGGTGAGGCATTGAGCGACGAAGGAAGACGGGTTCGTCTTCACCAAGGATTCTGTGACCGCGCCGGTCATCAGTGGATTTGTTCTTTCATTCGTATTTGTTCGCGGACACTTCCGTGGGCTTCAGGCACATCAGCATGTGAGGGACTGCGGCCCCAGCGCGCCGCCCCCAGGCGCCGGACCTCCAGTTCCGCTGGATGCGCGTCCGTCCGTCCGTCCAGGGGGTCGACGTGAACGGCGTTTTGGCGATTTCGTTGGCCGTTTTCGTTTCGACTTCGTTCTGCAGCAAGGGCGGACGGAAGACAAAACGAGGGAAAACGAAGACAACGACAGACGAAGAACACCGTTTCGGTCGATCCCCGCGTCTTCACCGACATTGTCGGGTGAGCTGCCCGCGCAAGGTCGCGCGTAAGCGCCCTCGTCTCCAGTGTGGCGTGCCACACTGGCGCCCCGCGCAAGCCGCCGCGAAAGTTCGCTGTTCCATCTCGCGTGAGACCCACATGTTGTCGTCGCTCATATGGCGGTGAGGGTATAACGGATGAGGAACCATTGGGTAAGGAGCCCAGGGCCTGGAAGCCGGTGGGACTCCAATCGTGAATCGGCCGTCGGAGATTTGAGCCCCCCGAGGTTCAGACCCCCTCCCCGGGACCCAGTTTTTCGACGGTCCCATGGGGCCTGGCGAGGGCCACCGGAGGCAGAAGAAATTGCCCAAATTCTCCCACCGCGTCGTTGACAAAAAATGTTGCGCCGCCGCGCCGTAAGGAGTGGTCGGCCGCCGCTATGGTGGGGGCGCCGGCGAAGGAACGAGCCCACGACGCCCGAGACCCCGGGGGACCCCTTCTCTGATGAGGGCTGCCGCGGTAACCCATGGCCAAGCCTCAAGGGGAGTTGCCCCGGGGTCCAGTTCCTGGACTCCTCCTCCAATGGTTCCCCATCCAGTGCCTCCATCGCGTGTTCTCACGACGCGGCTGCCGCCGCGTCGTGAGTGAAGCGTGCGTTCGGAGGCCACCGCGGCGGGCTGGGCGTGCCGGCTGCTCGCGGGCGGCCCCGAGCACACCGCCGCCGACCGCGGGGAGTGCCTGCGGGTGGCCTCCACGGGCGGGCCGCTGCTGGGCGCCGTGGGCGGTGGGCTGCTGCACCCGCGCAGCGCGCCGCAGGCGTGCCTGGAGGCCGGGGCCCGCCTGCTTCCCCCGATCGGGGGCAACGTAAGGCTTCTAGCAGGGGATCGACTACAGAATTGATGCACCCCAGAGTATATCCTTGAGGGCTTCGCCCCCTGCCGCCGGCCCCCTCTCTACCAGAAGGGGATCTCACAGAGTCGCGTCGGTGCGTCTCGGCGCTGCCTTGGCGCATCTGGGAACAGCATGCGGGGGCGGATCGGAGTCCTCAGCGCATATTGAAACGTTGGCGTTCTCGAAGACGCCTACGGCGAATCACCGCCGCCCCCTGCCTTCTTGAAAGCGCCTGCGTGGCCGAAAGTTGGGTTTGAGCTTGGCCTCGCTATCGGGCCAGTTGTTCCCCGAGTCGGTTTGGAGAGCCTTCGGAGAATGCGTGGGGGAGCAAGAGGTTTGAAAGCGCCCACGTGGCCGAGCGTTGTGGCAAAAACTCTGCCAAGGTATCGGGCCATGTGTTCCCCCAACCGTTGTGGAAATCCTTCGGGGAACGCTTGGGGGAGGATGGCGGGGAAGATCAGGAGGAGGAGGATGAGAAGGAGGAGGAGGAGGAGGAGAAGGAGGAGCAGAAGGAAGAGGAGAGGAGGAGGAGGAGGAGGAGGATCAGGAGGAGGAGGAGGAGGCCTCTGGGGAGCTTCTTGGGGCACTCTCCGGGCCGCCTGGTTGCTTCCTAGGAGCCTCTTGGAGGCCTCTGGGGGGGCTTCCTTGAGCCTCTTGTTGGCCTCTGGAGGTCTCTTGAGGGCCTCTTTGGCCGTCTTAGCGCGTTCCTGACCCGTCTGACGCCTTCGATCGCCATCTCGGGGGCCTCTCTAGGCAGTCTTGCGGCCCTTTGAAGGCGCTTCAGGGGGTCTTGGAGGCCATCTTGGACGCCTTGGGGGCCTCTTGGCCCGTCTTGGGGCGCTGTTGAGGCCGTTTTGGGGGTTCCTTGGGCCATTGTAAGGCCATCCTGGAAACCTCTTGGGCGATCTTCGGGGCCTCTTCGTCCATCTTGGGCCGTCGGACGGCCGAGAAGAAGAACATGCAAGAATCCTTCGAACATCTAAATGGGACCAATGATTGTCGCCTCTTCGGACCCTCCTGGAGGACCTCTTGGTCCTCTCTTGGGCCGTCTTAGAGACCTCTTGGGCGCCTCTGGGCTAGAGCTTGGCCAAGCTATCGGGCAAGCTGTTCCCCGAGTCGGTTTGGAAAGCCTTCGGAAAACGCGTGGGGGAGCAAGGAAGGAGGGTCAGGAGAGGAAGTTGGACGATGATTAGGAAGATCATGGCGATGAGGATGAGGATGAGGATGATGGCGGAGGAGGAGGAGGGGGAGGAGTAGGAGAAGACAACTGTTTGGGAACCTCTTGGGAGGCCTCTTGGGAGGCCTCTGCGGAGCTTCTCGGGGGCCTTTTGAAACCCTCTTGGGAGCCTCCCTGGGCTTCTTGGGGGCCTCTGTGGCCGTCTTTGGACGTTCCTGACCCGTCTAACGGCGTCGGAAGCCATCTTGGGGGCCTCTGGGCCATCTTGGAGGCCTCTTGGGCGATCTTCGGGCGACCTTGGGGGGCCTCTTGGACCGTTTTGGAACGACGGAAAGTGGGAACGGCGGAAATGCCACAATCCTTCAAAACTCAAAGAACAGCAAAGAATTGGTCCTTTTCGGGCCTTCCTGGAGGACCTCTTGGAGACCTCTTGGGTCGTCTTGGGTGCCTCTTCGGGCCTCTTGGGCAGTTTTGGGCCATTTTGAGACTATCTAAGGCCGTCTTGGGTGCATGTTGGCCCGTCGTGGAGCCATCTTGGAACCAGCTTAGCCGTCGTGGAGGCCATCTTGGCCGTCTTCGAAGCATCTTGGAGGCCATATTGGGTCATCTTGGCTGTCTTCGAGGCCATCTTGGGCGTCTTGAAGGCTTCTTGGGCCGTCTTATGACCCTCTTGGGGCCGTCTTGAGGGCCTCTTGGGTCGTCATGGGGCCATCTTGGAGGCCTCTTGGGTGATCTTGGGGCGACCATGGGGGCCTCTTGGGCCGTCTTGGGCCGTCGGAAAGCCGAACAGGCGCCAATGCCAACATCCTTCAAGCACACCAGGGGAATCGATGACTTTAGCCTCTTCGGGCCTTCCTCGAGGGCCTTTTTGGCCATATTGGAGGCCCCTTGGGGGCATCTTGGGCTGTCTTGGGCCATCCTGAGGCCATCTAAGACCTTCTTGGGTGCATCTTGGGCCGTCTTGGAGGCATCTTGGGGCCATCTTGGCCGTCTTGGAGGCCATCTTGACCGTCTTCGAGGCATCTTGAAGGCCATCTTGGGCCATCTTGGGCCGTCTTCGAGGTCATCTTGGGCTTCCTTGAGACCTCTTGGGCCGTCTTGGGGCCCTCTTTGGGCCGTCTTGGGGACCTCTTGGGCCGTCATGGGGCCATCTGAGGACTATTGGGCGATTTTGGGCCGACCTTTGTGGCGTCTTTGCCCGTCGTTGGGCCGTCGGAAAGTAATGCCAAAATCCTTCAAACACACAAGGGACATCAATGATGTTTGCCTCCTCGGGCCTTCCTGGAGGACGTCTTGGAGCTTTTTGGGCCGCATTGGCGGCCTTTTGGAGGCATCTTGGGTCGTCTTGGGCCATCTTGAGGCCATCTTAGGCCGTCTTGAGTGCATCTTGGCTCGTCTTGGAGGCATCCTGGGGCCACCTTAGCCGTCTTGGAGGCCATCTTGGCCGTCTTGGATGCATCTTGGAGGCCATCTTGGGCCGTCTTGGAGCCTTCTGGACCAGGACAACCGTTTGCAACCACCTCTTGTGGGGCTTTCGGGGCGTTTCTGGGACCCTGGCGGGCTGGGCCAGAGCCCCAGGGAGAGGTCTTCTGGAAAAAAACAAAACCAGAAGCGAAAGGGTTCAGCACGCCAGGCACCCCTGTGATGAATCAACAGGGGGCGGCGGATCGAAGACGCCTACGGCGAATCACCGCCGCCCCCCGCCTTCTATGATCGCCATCGCCCATGTGGCCGAGCGTTGTGGCAAAAATTCTGCCAAGGTATCGGGCCATGTGTTCCCCCAACCGTTGTGGAAATCCTTCGGGGAACACTTGGGGGAGGATGGCGGGGAAGATCAAGAGGAGGCGGAGGAGGAGGAGGAGGAGGAGGAGGAGGAGGAGGAGGAGGAGGAGGAGGAGGGGGCATCTTGGGAGCTTCTGGCGACACTCTTGGGGCCTCCTGGGAGCTTCCTGGGAGCCTCTTGGACCTTCGGGGGTTTCTCGGGGGCCTCTTTGGCCGGCTCCTGGCCCGTCTGACGCCGTCGGAAGCCGTCTTGGGGGCCTCTCTGGGCCGACTTGGGGCCCTCTTGGGGTGCTCCTGGGCCGTCTTGGAGGCCATCTTGGGCGTCTTGGAAACCTCTTCGGCCGTCTCGGGGGCCTCGTGGGGCCGTCTTGGGAACCTCTTGGACCGTTCAGGGACCATACTGGAGACCTCTTGGGCGATCTTTGGGGGCTCTTGGGCCGCCTCGGGCCGTCGGAAGGCTGAACAAAAAGCAAATGCTTGAATCCTTCATGGAACTCGTGGGGAATCATTGATTTTGGCTTTTTCGGGCCTTCCTGGAGGCCCTTTTGGAGGCCTCTTGGGTCATCTTAGGGCCATCTTAGGGCCATCTTCGGCCGTCTTGGTGGGCTCCTTGCCTGTCTGACGCCGTCGGAAGCCGTTTGGGGCATCTCTCTGGGCCGACTTGGGGCCCTCTTGGAATGCTCCAGGGCCGCCTTGGAAGCCATCTTGGGCATCTTAGAGGCCTCCGGGGCCGTCTTGGGGGCCTCTTGGGGCCGTCTTGGGGGCCTCTTGGGCAGTCGTGAGGCCATCTTGGAGGCCTCTTGGGCGATCTTGCGGCGATCTTTGGGGGCACTTGGGCCGCCTCGGGCCGTCGGAAGGCCAAAAAGACGCAAATGTCAAAATCCTTCAAAAACCTAAGGAGCATCAATGGTTTTGGTCTCGTCTGGCCTTCCTGGAGGCCCTCTTGGAGGCCTCGTGGGCCGTCTTGGGCCAGCTTCGAGCCAACTTCGCCCATCTTGGTGGGCTCCTGGCCCGTCTGGCGCCGTCTTGGGGACCTCTCTGGGCCGTCTTGGAGCCCTCTTGGGATGCTCCAGGGCTGTCTTAGAGGCCGTCTTGGGCTTCTTGGAGGCCTCTTGGGTCGTCTTTGTGCCCTCTTGGGGCCGTCTTGGAGGCCTCTTGGGCAGTCCTGCGGCCATCTTGGAGGCCTCTTGGGCGCTATGGGGGCGATCTTGGGGGCCTCTTGGGCCGTCTTGTGTCGTCCGAAAGCTGAAAAGGAGCAAATGCCCGAATCCTTCGAATACCTGAGGAAAACCATTGATTTGGGCCTCTTCGGGCCCTCGCGGAGGACCTCTTGGAGGCCTCTTGGGCCGTCTTGGAGGCATCTTGGAGACCCCTGGGGCCGTCTTGGGCCATCTTGATGCCATCTGAGGCTGTCTTGAGTGCATCTTGGCTCGTCTTGGAGGCAACCATCTGAGCCGTCTTGGAGGCCATCTTGGCCGTCTTCGATGCATCTTGGAGGCCATCTTGGGCCGTCCTGAAGCCGTCTGGAGCAGGACAAACCCTTTGCAACCAGGTCTGGAAGGTCTTTCCGGGTGGCCGGCGGGACGGGCCGATGCCCAAGGGGGAGTTCTTTTGGAAAAAGAACCAAAACCAAAAGCGAAAGGATCTAGTACGCCAGGCACCCCTGCGATGAATCGACAGGGGGCGGCGGATCGAAGACGCGTACGGCGAATTACCGCCGCTTCCCGCCTTTTTGGAAGCGTCTATGTGGCCGACCGTTGAGGCCAGACCTGCCAAGCTATTGGACCATGTGTTCCCCGAATCGGTTTGGAAAGCCTTCGGGGAACACGTGGGCATGCATCTTGAAGGTCATCTTGGCCGTCTGGAGTCCATGTTGCCCTTTTCGGGCCTTCTTGGAGGACGTCTTGGAGGGCTCTTGGGCAGTCTTGGAGGCCATCTTGAGCGTCTTGGATGCCTCTTGGGTCTTGGGCCGTCTTGG